AGCAAGATGTAGTCTGTTCCTCACTGGGTCCATTCAAACACCGTATGAAGCGCCCGCTTGCACCAAAAAAACATTTTATCACTCAGTCCTCCATGTGCGTAAATACGTGCTGCGTAATTACACGCACCATGTACAGACGCGCACTGCGTAATTTACGCATTCCGTGTACATGGGCACCCGAGAGAAAAGTTTGATGGGAAAAGTAGAGAGGCTGAAAAAACAGTGAACAGATTCATAATAAATGAACTGATTAGTAATCAAACAGTAGTCATGAACTGATTAGTGACATTAGAACAAAAACCAACAGTCACAAACTTGTGACTGATAACAAATATCTCACACTGTAATTGCATGCAGTCAGATGTGAGTTTAAACGAAGATCCATGAAAACAATGAGATTCATTCTGTTAAGGCACCGAGGACAGAATGCGTCATGGAACGAGCAGACACAGATAGAAGTAAATAAATGAGCAGGGCGATGACCACGTGGCCACAGTGCAAATATCCTGTATTGTCATACCATTATGCAAGGCTGTCGAGGATGCAATTCCTCTGGTCAAGTGTGCCCTGAGGTTGTCAGGGGGCTCTAAACCTGATGCTTTGTAAGCTTCAGAAATGGCCTCACACAGCCAGTGTGACAGGCGCTGGGTGGATAATGGGCGACCTGCAGAGGCGTTTCTATAATGCACAAACAAATGTTGAGTCTGACGCAGTGTGGCCGTGCGTGCTACGTAACATGCCAACGGATGCACAGGGCAGAGGAGATGAAAAGATGCTTCTTCCTCTGATTTGTGGGGAGGAGGGAACAAACCCTCCAACATTATCATTCTCGATTTAAATGAGTATGTGATGTTTTTAGGCATGAACGCTGGGTTAGGTCTCAGATCAGCTAAACTGCCATCAGCCTAAATCCTGAGGCATGACGGCGCAACAGAGAGGGCAGATAAATCACTCACTCTCTTTGCAGATGTCAAAGCCAACAGCAGGGCTGTTTTAAGTGACAAGAATTTAATCGAAACCTGATCCAACGGCTCGAAAGGAGCTTTGATCAGGGCTCGCAAAACTATCGTTAAGTCCCACTGTGGAGCTAGTGGACGTGACACCAGTCTGTGTCTCCGAACACCTTTCAGAAAACGCTTCATCAGCGGGTGATTAAAAACTGTTCTGTCACAGAAGCATTCATGACAGGAAGAGGCGGCTGCAGCATAAGTTTTAATTGTGCTGAACGCCAGATTTCTGTCCATCAGCTGCTGCAGAAAGGACAGCATGCCACCTAGTGGACATGAGATGGCCTCTACACCTTTTTCCGTACACTAGCGTTGAAAAGCTGTCCACTTTGATGTGTACAGCGCTGTGGTGGAGGCAGCACATAAATCCTGGATACTTGAGAGAGACCCATCTTCTCTAAGCGGATCCGCTCAGCGGCCTGACCCAAAGATGTTGGCCTATTTCTGGGTGGCTCCTGATCACTCCTCCCGCCTGGAGGAGAGCATCATCCATCCACGGCAGTTTCCACGGACAACCCGATAACAGACGTAGCAGGATTGGAAACCATGGGGCGCTTGTGCGCTCGAGGGATATCAAAATGGCAGATAGTTCTTCCTCCTGAACTCGGTTCAGAAACCGTGATATTAGAGGGACTGGGGGAAAAGCATAAATGAGCATTTTGGGCCATGGACTGTGGGCAAACGCATCCACTCCTAACGGTGGATCGTCCCGTGGGCTCAGTGAGAGCCATAGTTGACACTGGGCATTCTGCCATGTGGCAAATAGGTCCACTTCTGCTCTGCCAAATTTCACCCAAATCCAAGAAATCAGCTCGGGATGGAGACTACAGTCCCCGTGGCGCGGACCGCCCCTAGACATTATGTCCTTTCCTCTGTTCAGGACGCCGGGGATATACACTGCTCTGATGGAGAGCAGGTTTTTGTGTGCCCAACACAGCAGCTGTCTCACAATGTGTAACATTTGGACTGAGCGCACACACCCCTGCCAGTTTATGTAAGCAGCGGTTACTTTGTTGTCTGTGTGAATCAGAACGTGCTGATTCTGTAACACAGGAGGAAAATGTTGGATCACATTCAAAACTGTGAGACATTCCAAAACATTTATGTGAGCTGATGTGTGAGCTGGCTACAGTGCCCCCACCGCCCGTGACAGGCACGTTCCTCCCCAACCTGACAGGGACGTGTCTGTGAAAACTGAGATGTGTGACGTAGGTCTGCTGACAGGGACTCCCTCTGACAGCGTGAGAGGATTTCGCCAATGTTTCAGGTCGGTTCCCACGGAGGGAGGCACCGAAATCATCCGCCTCTTCTGCCTTACTGGATCTATGCGCAGATGAGTGAACCACCTCTGGAGACGTCTCATGTGAAGTAAGTCCAGCGGGACCATCGTGTGAGCTGACGACATTGTTCCTAACAGTTTCATGATGGAGACAGCTGTCACGACTCTGCCGGGCTTTATGTGGCGGAGCTGGTCTTTTAGAGTTTCGGCTCTCGTTTGTGATAAACGGGCCCTCATAGTGACAGAGTTTAGCTCCACTCCCAGATAAACGATCATCTGGGCCGGGAGAATCGAGCTCTTCTCCCAGTTTATGGCGAAGCCGAGATTTAACAGGTGTGATGTCAGCACTTTGGTTTACGCCGCTGCTTCCTGCCTGGATCCGGTCAGCAACAGCAGATCGTCCAGGTAAAACAGAATTCTCATCCCTGATCTGTGTAGCGGCTGCAGGGCCATCTCCAAGCATTTTGAAAACGTGTGTGGTGCGAGGGAGTAACCAAACTGAAGCCTGTTGTATTGATACTGGGTTCCTTGGAAGGAGAAGCGCAGGAACTTTCTATGCTTTGGAATGATTAGAATGTGAAAATAAGCGTCTTTGAGATCGATGGAGGTAAATCAGTCGTTCTGGTGAATGTTGTTCAACAGCTGTCTGGTTATCAACATGTGAAACTCTCTCCATGATCAACTTGCTGAAAATGGATAAATCTAAGATGGGTCTCATCCCTCCGGTCCGTTTCAGAACCAGGAAGTAACGCGAGTAAAACCCTGTGTTTTCCTCTCTGTTGGGAACCCTAGAAATTAAATTTTTACCAGTAGTTCCTGAACTTCTGCATGAAGGGATGAGATCTGTTCTGAAGATGACAGAACCGTCTCTACAATCCCCCTAAACGGTGGGGGTTGAGTTGCGAACTGCAGCATGTAACCCTTGCTGATAAGACGGTTCATCTAGCTGTTCAGGGAGCACGCTCGCTGCCACTCCACATAACGCTCTGGGAGCAGGCACGTGTTTTTGTGTTGCGTCATGTCTTTTACGGACGCCAGCCAAGTCAGGGCCTCCACCGCCGTCATGTGCTGCGGAGACGTGCTCCGAGTGACCCAAGGCGAGGGCTTTTCGAAAGGGCACTGGAGGGGCTTTCCCGCTGCGCGTAGGCTATGGGCTTGCATCAGAGTTTATGTGAGCTAACGTGCGCTGAGGGGAGGCGTGCGTGCCTTCAGCAGTGCAGCATCATTTGGGTGGAGGCTGCAGCTGCCATGAGGAAACACGCTCGTCTCCGCTGTGGTCAGAAGTGGCAGAAAACACCCTGGGCTGAGAGCAAGGTTTTCTCCTGGGCTCGGTCTGATGAAAACGTTCATTTTTTGCTGCTGTGTCAAGCGAGTGTTCTGTGTGTTTTCTCGAGCTGCAGTGGAGGGAGAGACAGCTGAACTGCGCGTTGTTTGTTTTTACCTTTTTAGCTAGCTAGTATTGCGCACAACTAATTGGCGTTATGCCAGTGTCAACAGGTGGAGGCGGGGTGCGCAGTTCAGTTCGGTCGTTCGGCGCACTCGGTTCTGTTAATGGGGCGGGGCACCCCGCTTGTATAATGGTAGGGGAAACACTGCCGTATTACGTCATGAAATTAGCATATCATGATGATATTTATTTTCCCTGGCAAGCTTTTTTTACCGGTATTATCGTGAACAATATGACATGGTCCAGCTCTACTCAGAGTAGAGCCACTGTTTTTCCACATCAAGAGGAACCAGTTGAGGTGGCTAGGGCATCTGGTTAGGATGCCTCCTGGAGGCCTCCCTGGTGAGGTGTCCCAGACACGTCCCACCAGGAGGAAAACCAGAAGAAGATACGCTGGAGGGACTATGTTTCTCTGACCTGGGAACGCCTTAGGATTCCCTCGGAGGAGCTGGCCCAAGTGGCTGGGGAGAGGGAAGTCTGGGCCTCCTTGCTTAAGCTGCTACCCCCGCGACCTGACCCAAATAAGTGGAAGAAAATGGATGGATGGATGGATGGATGGATGGATGGATGGATGGATGGATGAATATTTTGTCAATTCAAAAAAAAAAAATCTGAAATGTGGATTTATTTTAAATTTTTTATAAAAGTCCCTTAAGGAGTTAAAATGATGGGGTGTCGTTTAAATTAGATATTTTTAATTCAGGCTGGGACAGCTCTAAAGACTGACTAGTTTCTTGTGGAAAAATATTTAAAATTAGTATTTCAATCAGTTAATTAAGGTGGTTGATTTACCCACTGAGGAACATGAATAGTCATAAAGTTAAAAGGTTAAAACCGTCTTACACAAAACTATGCTTCTGATGTGGATCAGATTTCATGATCTTTTCTGTAGTTAGATAAAACAAAGCAAAGTTTTTGAGCTGCATGCATTCAACTGGGACTGAAGCAAGATGAAGATAAATTATTTGTGAAATAATTCTTTATTAGATTCTTGAACATGCATGTTATCTCGCTTTATAAAATTGATTGACAGCTAATGATGATTATGACTTCATAACTCTTTCCATATCTGTGATGGTGGTAAGATATTTTCATCAGTGATCACAATTTAAACAGTCTGCATTCACCAACATTTCACCAAACAGAACATCTACTGTATGTGTTGATGTTGGAAATGACTCCAGCCTCCTACTCTAACTGTCACTGAGAAGACTGCAACAAGAAGGCCAGTTTTATGTACAGTATTAATCCCAAAATATTTTCTTACCAGCAATATTTTCCTCAACTTCATCTTCAAGACCTGCAATTACAGAAAACTCAATTCACAACCACAAAATAAATGATTTCTTCGTAGGGCAGACTTTAATTTGGAATAAATTTAGCAACTTAAGTGTTCAAACTGTATCTAACATCATATACAAACCGTCAGATGATGCTAGCAGCTGAGTTACAAGAAATAACTCATTTTACAAATTTAAATGATTTTTTAAAAATGTTTAAATTTGGGGAGGCATGGTGTAGAAGTAGTTAGATCTGTTGCCTCACAGCAAAACGGATATAAGATCACCTCCTGCCTGGGGCTTTTCTGTGTTCAGTTTGCATATTCTCTTCTTACATGTCCAAGTATTCTCTCAATTATCTGGTTCCTTACAACAGACCAAAAACTATACATCCTTCCATTTTCTTTACATACTTTTACATGAAGGGTCGCAGTTGGCCGGTGCCTATCTCCAGCAGTCACTGTGTGAGAGGCGGGGGACACCCTGGACAGGTCTCCAGTCCATCACAGGGACATAGAGACAAACAAGACAAACAACCATTCACTCTCTCACTCACACCTAGTGACATCTCAGTTACCATTTACCATAATATTTTGGTCTGTGGGAGGAAGCTACTTGGAGAAACGCACACATTCACAGAGAGAACAAACAAACATATAGAAAGGCCCTAGAAGGGAAGCAAACCTACAACATTCTTGCTGTAAGGTGAAAGCTCTAATCACAGTTCTGCTGAACCTCCTCCATCAGTTTCAGTCTCACTGTGTAGGAAAAGGGATCCATCATCAGCATAAGGGGATCCAGGTGAAGGAGTTTTATCTGCAGAACCTTCACCATATTCATCCTTCTTTCTTTCTTAACCAGCAGGCCTGACCATGAAGAGAACAAGAGCTGCTTGCTTTGAGTGTAAAACGCAAAGAAAGGATGCCAGGGCATAGGGTGGTATTTATTGATGCATGGTAGAGATGGGCGATATATTGATATTTTAAAAACATCAATATAATTTCCTGATGCATGCTCAATAATCCAGGTAGAAAAATCTAAAAAAGTTAAATCTGGTCCTCTGGACATTCAAAAAAACCTGAGGTGCTGAAAACAGCACCTCAGACTGAAGAAGTCTCTCGGATGAGAGACGAAACGTTTCTACATTTTTTGTTGTTTTGCTTTGTTTTGGGTTTTTTTGAATGTCCAGAGGACCAGATTAAACTTTTTTAGATCGATATAATTGTTTTTGCGATATAAGTTGAGACTATATCGATATAAAATAATATAGTTTTATACTTGAAAACCCTCATGCTCCTCCTCTTTCTCCCACGCGGCCCCCCTCCTTCTCCCTCCTTGAATACAAACCCAGCCTCTCAGCCACAGCCGCCCCCAGCTGAAGAGGATTATTATTTAATATATCTAAATAAATGTCTAAAAAATAAACTATAATATATGTAAATAGTTTATTTTTTAGACATTTATTTTGTACTGTTACAGCTGTTGTTAATAAACGTGCCTGTGTGACAACTGGAACAAAGCTTTGACTCAGAAATATATTTTTGTTATTTTATGGAAAGAAAAAAAAAATACATATATATATATATATCGTATATCGCAATTTTTCTTAAAATATCAATATTAATTTAGGTCCATATCACCCAGCTCTAATGCATTGTTCGTTGCAGCCATGTGGTGAGAACAGTGCTTTCCTTTTGATTGTAGTGAGAATGGCAGTGATGTGACGAGCGTAGTGGCCGAGTCACTAAGAGCAAGTGAAATAATGTTAGAGCACCGCCTGTGAGATATGAAGCCAGTGTTGTTTTCAAATTCTTAACAATCAAGCCACATGCTGATGTGCACCATGTTCCAACTAGACACTTCAACTTTTGGATGCCTTCAGTTTTGATTTAAACTGGGTAAATTATTAAAATAAAGAACCCCCATTTAATAAGACAAGAAACAAAACCCTGTGATTGACTGGAGACCGCCCATTGCACAGTGACTGATGGACATGGGCACCAGTGACCCCCGCAACCCAAAAAGGAAGAAGTGGGTAAAGATAATGGATGGATGGAAAACACAAATTACGGTAAATATCTAATATTCATGCTGTCAAAGGAATACAACATGTAGCAGCAAATCTACTCACGTATATAAATCATGTAGGACATTTTCCCAAGAAGCACTTCCACTCGAACAACACCCGCCTGGAGGTCGACAGTCATACAGCCTGAGCTGTGGATCTGAGAGGAAGACGATACCAAATGATACTTCTGGTAAGAATGAAGTATAATTGTAAGGATGGTACCATTTGCTGTTTCTGTTTGTGTCTGTGTTTCCCTAGTGTTTCCTCGTCAGTTTAATTGTTGCCACCTTTGTCTCGTCACACCTGTTGTAATCACGTCTTGTCTTGTCCTTGTATATAAGCCTCCTGTTCTGTGTTGTTCCTTTGTCGGGTCGTATTCGTTTGGGTCTTCAGTGTTCTCCTGTGTCTCCTGAGTTTCCTGAGCTTTCTGAGTCCCGTTTGAGTATCCCTCCAGAGTCGTCTAGTTTATGTAAGTGTTGCTGCCACGTCAGCTTATTGTTTTGTTAC